GGTGGTCTCCGCTCTGGATGCGCCCCTGCGAGAAGGAAAAGATCCGAGTGGCGTTCCGCTCCCCCCTAACTCGGCGAGGGAGGGCTTCTGTACCCGGGGTGTTTCTCGGGTGCTTACTGTGTGCCAGGTACTGTTCCAAGAGTTTTTGCCCGTGTTAACTCATTTTATCCTCTCATTAAACCCATGAGATGTAGTGTTATTATCCCTGTGTTACAGATAAGGGAGTTGAGGCACACTGGGATGAAATACCTTTCCTTGAAGTTACAGAGCTTGTAAGTAGCCTTTATTTTATGGTTCTGATGATGAGGGTTGGTACTTGAATATAGTAGGTGTTAATTATTTGTTGGTAGAGGTATTGACAAATTCTGTATATCAAATTCTGTGAATTTGTTATTTTGAGCCAATTTCCGTGAACACTGATGCCAGAAGACCATCTTTTAGTAGGTCTGAGAACTTGATTATCTGTTCCAGGGTTGGACTGAGGCTGCCTGGGCCCTCCTGCTGATTCCTTTGTGCATTGGCAAAGGCTCCAGGACGCGGTCAGCCCAATACCAGAAAGCAAAGCACCTGGAGAAGAGCTATTCCAGAACCTTCAGAACCCTCTTCCTTCTGAATGAGATAATTTCTTAATATTGAAGGGAGTAGAATTAGGGGAGAATTCTTGCTGGATCAGAAACTGATTACAAGAGGAAGAGGCATGGTCAAAAGCATTTCAGATGGTTAGGGGAATAGGAGGTGGCCCGCGCTGATAGGGCTGGAAAGTTAGTCACATAAAGAGCAGATTGGGTTTGTTGGTGCTGCAGCACTTTGTGACCACTGTGCTTGTGGATACAGTATCCACAGAGCAGGAAGGCAATCCAAATGACTAAAGTATGAGGAAGAAAGGAGGAAAAGAGAAAAGGAGAGACAACTTTCCACACCATGGTGGAGGAACCCCTTGGATGGAACCTGGGTAAGCATATGACCCTAACCTTGTGGAGACAGTGACCTCCTAGCCTTTCTGAAATATATCTGGAGGCTCCTCCACCAAGACTTTCATCACATCCACCAGCCCTCCTTTCCCCAATTCATGTGCATCCTCCAAAGCCAGGAAAAAGAATGCAGCTAGAGCAGAAGCTGCTGAAGGGAGCCTCACAGATCCTCTGAGAGCATCTTTCCTTAAATGTACGCCATCACAATTTTAAAATTAATATATTCGAGGTAAGCACAGCAATAATATAATCTCTTTATGTTGTATTTGATGTTCTTTATTGTAAATGCTTTGCCATCTTTTAACTTGTAGCATTAACAGAAGCTCTGTGAGAAAAGCCAAGTACTAATAATGCCATTTTACACCGTGGGACCAGATTTTAAGAAAGGCAAATGCCTTGCCCGGGATTGCACAGCCCTAGGGTAGTGGAGCCATGTCAGTGGCCCTCTGTTCTGACCCTCAGGAGGGAGTAAGGGTCATACTACTGCCATACTCCGTTTGAACTCATACCTGTGTGAGGAAAGTGACAAAGAGGCTGGATTTTATGCCTCAGATCACCTGGAGAGTTAAGACTGAGTTTGGACTTGGCTTACTGTTCAAGTCCTTACTTGGCTTACAGATCCATCCCTTTTACCTTTTATCATTAAAAAACTAGGGACTTAAGTACAGACATAAATATCTATTGTCCTTTTCTTTGTATCTGGGAGGAGGTGGGATTACTTTTAGGCATTTGTTTTACCCCTTACACTATAGGGTTGCATTCAACTGGCCAGATGTAGACATTACTAGACCAGTGATTCTGGATGCCTTAAGATAAGACCTGTTCTCAGCTTTGCCTTTGACCAAAACAAAGCCAAGAGGAAGTAGAAGAGGGAAAGGCAACTGTCTGTCTCGCAGTAAAGTCTAATCCCATGTGAGTTAAGGATTCTTCCTTCTTTTCTGAAAGTTTGTGTCATCTTGCCAAGCAGAGACACATTTATTTCTCTTTTCATAGAACTTCCCTTCTTAGGTGAGTCTGCCAAATTTTGTCCAGGATGGGACTATTCCCTGTTTGCCTGCTAACTGCCCTTAATGTCTTCCTCAACACTTGTTTACTCTATTTCATCGTTAGGTTATTGAAGAACCCAGCCTTATTGGCCTGTTTTTTGAATGGTTTCATCTGAAACATGGACCTTAACCTGTTACGTGTCTCTGGTGATTTGAAAAAGAGTAGGTTTACTTTAGTCTTATTCCCTTAGTCTAGGCAGACAGGTATGTGCCTCAGAGTTTGGGACCTAAAATTAAACTCCAGGGGTCAGATCTTTGGACTAAACGTTCAAGTCCAACATCTTCATTTTACAGATGAGGAGACGTAAAACCAGATTGGTTATTTTCCCCTGGTTTTATATAGCTACCAACAGAGCTATGACCCAAATCCAGATTACCTGGTAAATGCTTTTACCACAGGGCCTCTATCTGATGTTTCACTGATTCATGCCAAGAATGCCACCTGCACTGTGGTGGCACTTCAGTGGGGGCTGGAAAATTTCAACCTTAGATTACACAGATACAGCTTTTAGCATGGTTGGGATTTCCTGCAGGCTCTCAGGGTAGTCACCTGCCAGAGGTAGTCACTCTCTAAACCTCCATGGCACTCTGGAGTTGACGTCATGCTGGCATCCTGGGATCAGTGGAGTTTAGTTTCTTAGCCATTTAGGGGGCCACAGGAATGGAAAGTGTGACTCAGGTGTTCTTTCCCTGTTTCAAATCCCTAACTGTGTAGTGTAGTGAGTTTGAGTCCAGGATTTATCACTTGGTGTTGGGCCAAACTACTTAACCTCTCTATACCTAAAGTTCTTCATTTGTATTGTGGGAATAATGATCATAGCCCTCTCATTGTTGTGAGACATAAATGAGTCAATGTTCATAAAATGCCTAGAATAGGCAGACCCAAATGACCTAAAGAATCTCCAAGTTAGATTCCTTTCACAGTTAGGTTCCTTTTTTTTTTTTTTTAATGTAGAAACTTTCCCCAATGGGCTTTCTATGTATGTATCGTATGTGTCACATAACAAACACATAATGCATTATACAGTTATACATGTAAAGAGCTTATTTGAATGCAAAAACAACTACATTTGGGCTGCTTATACCATATAGTATATATACATTAGTTGAATTATAAATAATCTTATATCAGATTGGCACAGTTTACCAATCATCAGGATATTAATAAGCATGACAGTGAACCCTAAACTTCATATTGGCCATCTCCTTTGAACTCTGTCCTAGTTGTTTCTCTATTCAGGATATTCAGCTTATTTTTAGGTAGCCTATGTTTTAATGCTTCTAGTGACACAATTTACAAAGATTTTCAAATTTCAGATCTTCCTAGTTTCTCCTTACTCCAAAAACCTGAACATTTTCTCAACAATATCTCTTCTCCAGGATGGAATATAATATGTAATAATGTAACAATATTCCACTATATACAAAATTCCCAGTAGTTCGCACATCACCTTTATGGTAGCGTGGGTGCTCTCAGATTTTCAAAGACTTCTGTTGGGGACAAAGACTTGCTTTAGAGGCTTTGTAATTGACCTGCTGAGAGACACAGTCTTCATCTATTGTGTAACTGTCAATACTTTAGTTCCATTTCACTAGAGAAGTATTTCTCTACCTTTCAGACCTACCATCCCCCTTTACACTATCCTGAAATAAAATTTATAGATAGTATTAACTACCCATCGGTATAATTTCCAAAATACCAATATATTACCTTAACTCTAATATAAAGGGGAAGAAAAGTAATTTATAATAGAATAATATACATTTCACCATGTAAAGACTGGATGAAATAGATGCCTGCACTTATTCATAAAATCACTGTGAATACAACAGCTATAAATGCAGACTAATACATGAATGTCATATTTGTGAATCTAATACCACGAGTGGTTTGATTTTCCTGAAATGATGAATAATTCCTAATAACATTCAAAGAAAAAGAAGTATATTTCTTTGATTTTCCAATATATATCAAAGCTGTGCAAAATACTTTGTATCTATATGTAAAGTGGTGTTAGATTCTAGCCTCGGGTAACTATTAACAACATTTTTGAAAGTCAGGCAGGATAAGGGACATTCTTTGTTTTGCAGGAATGCCCATTATTACTGGCCCCCACTAAATTCCAATAGCACCATCCAATCAACATGACAACCAAAAAAAACCCTTACAAATCCCCACACTCTCCCTAGGGGGTAGTACTGCTGCCATGAGGATTACTGCAATAAAAGAAAGAAATAATAGTGAACTGCCAACAAAATAATGATGGAGTAGCTTAAGGATCTGGGCTGCAAGAATGTAGGGCAGCCAACCTACCATAAGGCAAATTCCTATTAAGGAATGTTGACACCATAAAGCATGCAACTGGATTTTATTGCAAAGATCTTAATAAATTAGAAATTCTGACTCTCATTCAACCCAGTAGTAGGGCTTTTGTGTTCCCTGTTTCCAGTTGAAAGGCATGTTTTTGGCAAAGGTGAAAATGGACAGTATCATCCTATTGCTCCTGAGGTTCTCCAAGCAGGGCTTCTTGGTGGATATCCTCCAAGGTTCACCTCCATATCTGAAAGGTTCCCAGTCGATGAGAAAGAAAAGACCTAGATCAACTCCTAACCCAGTGGATATCAAATTGTGCTGTGAGCAGAAACATAAGGGGAACTGTTATACAGTTTGTTGCCTATTGTCATGCCCAAGGGCTGTGGATGAATTCACAAAAGAATGGGTTAAAGAAAAAAGCTTTAATGAGGAAACTTAGAGTCCACAGATGGGGGCCAGCCCCGTGGCTTAGCGGTTAAGTGCGCGCACTCTGCTGCTGGCAGCTTGGGTTCGGATCCCGGGCGCGCACCGACGTACTGCTTCTCCCGCCATGCTGAGGCCGCGTCCCACATACAGCAACTAGAAGGATGTGCAACTATGACATACAACTATCTACTGGGGCTTTGGGAGGAAAAAAATAAATAAATAAAATTATAAAAAAAAAAGAGTCCACAGATGGGCAAGAAGAAAAGACACAAATTCCCATATCCTCCCATTTTCCCAACAGAAAGGTTGCTGGAGCCATGATGCTCTGCTGGACACTCAGTGTAGGTCAGTGTTCCAGGGGAGGGCCTTGCTACTCTTCCTTCTAGGGCAAGTATAAGAACAACCTTGTTGGTGGGGAGATAAACAGACTACTTGGTGCCCGACAGTCTGAATGTGGGGTGTCAGCTTTTTAACAGGAGTCATCTGAGAAAGCTAGCTGCCTAATACTTGGAAACTTTGAAATCCCTGGGAAGTGTTGGCCCCACTGGCAGAAGGACGAAGCCATCTGTCCAAAGGGAAGCTGAGTTTATGTTTTAGACCTCCCTGCTGTAAGAAGAGTGTTGGGTGGTGAGGCTGGTTCCAGCTAGTACATTTTTTCAGGCAACCTAGAGCGTGTTTCTACAGTTCTTTTTGGACAATTCAACTTGTCAAGTTATATGAACTTATTAAATACAAATACTTGGGCCCCATCATACTTATTAAGTCTGAGGCAAAGCCCAGGTGTCTGGAGTAACAAGTTCCTTAAGTGATTCTGATGTTTATGTGTGTAACATTTCTTTTGGAACCCAATTTTAGTCCCTTTCAGATACCCATTTTCTCCAGTCCCTCCAGCCACAGCTTCTATAAAAGTTCATACCTTCTTTTCTATAGTTTCAAAGCATTAAGATTGAGCTATGAATAGCTCAGTGTCTCCAGCACTAATAGCCTGGTATTAAATCATTTCTAATCAGCAGGAATCCCAGGAGGCAAATTGGACATGATCACGCAGTTGGAGGGAGAACAACTATAGATACTGGATCTTCAGGGAGCTGAAGAGGGGAGTAACCAAAAATACCTGTCTCGGTGAGTGCTATCATGAAAAGACCACGAATTTGATATTTAGGAGGCATAAGTTCTAGTCTAAGCTCTTGCAATTCACTGGGTGACTTAAGTTACTCATGTTTTCTATTTGTCAAATAAGCAAGTTGGCCCAGATGAATTCAAAGTCAAGCTCTGTTAAGATGAGCTCTGTTAAACCTCTGATAGTCTATGACTGTAGACTTGTTTAGAAGAATACCTAGTTGGAAGAAGGGTAGGGGAACCAATGAGGGTAGCAGTGTGGTAGTCAGCATTTCTGAAATTTTGTTCTCTCTCAATGCCAAGAAAATGGTTACATCCATGCTTGATAGAGTCATCCTTACTTTTTGCTTTTTCCGGGGTATCTTTTCTACACTTGAGGGTCCACTCTTGTCTCTTTCCTTTCTCTCATTTACCATGACTAATCAGCTACAGTAACTAATAGCTCATTTTACTTTCTAATCCCCTACTCTTTGCTCGTCAGCTAGTGTATCTTCTTATTTCCATTTTTTTGGCTAAGCGTATTACCCAGTCACCCTTCCCATATTTCTTGATGTCTCTGTGCTCACCATGCCCGCTGTAAAAATGCCTGTTATCTCTTCTGGCCTTCTTCACTTCTCTTCCTCTGTCTCTTTTTATTTTCTCCACATATAAAGTTGCTAGTATGCATGAATTGCAAATTAGCTGTCTTTTTTTCTGCTGATTTATTTTCCTTGCTCTCTACATTAAACACAGGTGACATTTGCACTTTAAATGTCTTTCAGATAGGGAGAGTTGAAAGGAACCAAAGCATCAACACCAATCATGCAATTTCTGAACAACTAGAGTTTTCAGGGTCAGCCATGGAAAGTCTCAGAGGAAATACTGCCCAAGGTCCTGCAAATGAAGAAGCCTGTAAAAGTGAGGACCAGTTATCAAGGCGGACAAAATGTCGTGTACAGAAGAAATCTTTTGAGAAAAGAGCAATCAGAAAAGTGTCAATGACCCTCAAGGAAATTTTCACCAGGGAGAGAGGCCCTGAATCCAGTGAATTTAGTCTGAGCTCAAAACTTAATACACAGCAGAAAATTCCAAAGGGAACTAGATCCCCCATATCTAGGAAAAACTCCAAAGATAATTCAGACTTAATTAAACACCCAAAACTCTTCCCACTAAAGAAACCTTATAAACGCAATGAATGTGGGAAAGCCTTTAGTTACCAATCAGACCTTATTGTCCACAGTAGAATTCACGGTGGAGAAAAGCCTTTTGAATGCAATGAATGTGGGAAAACTTTTAGCCGAAGTTCACACCTTATTGAACATCAAAGAACTCACACTGGAGAGAAACCTTATGAATGCAGTGAATGTGGAAAAGCTTTTAGCCGGAGTACTCACCTTAGTCTACATCAGAGGATCCATACTGGAGAAAAACCATATGAATGTAGTGAATGTGGAAAAGCCTTTAGCCGAAGCACTAACCTTAGTCAACATCAGCGAACTCATACTCAAGAAAAACCTTACAAATGTAATGAATGTGGGAAAGCCTTCAGTGACCGTTCAACCATAATTCAACATCAACGAATACACACTGGAGAGAATCCCTATGAATGCAGTGAATGTGGAAAAGCTTTCAGTTGGATCTCATCTCTTATTGAACATCAGAGAACACACACTGGAGAGAACCCCTATGAGTGCAGTGACTGTGGGAAAGTGTTCAGTCGAAGCTCATCCCTTATTGAACATCAGAGAATCCACACTGGAGAAAAGCCCCATGAGTGTAGAGAGTGTGGAAAGGGCTTCAGTCGGAGCTCTTCCCTTATTATCCACCAGAGAACTCATACCGGAGAGAAGCCTTACAAATGTAATGACTGTGGGAAAGCCTTCAGTCAGAGCTCAACTCTCATCAGACATCAGCAACTTCACAGTAAAGAGTAATATTTGAGCTTTCATTAATGTTAGCACAAGAGCACGCAGTATAACCTCCTACAGCTGAAAATATATATATATATATACTTGTTTAAATTTTCCTTCCTTACTAGCTAGCTAGAAGCCAGTTTTAAGCTAGCTTGCCTTCCTTTTTGTAAACTAAATACTCAAATGAGTGATCAATACAACAAGGGATTGACTTTAAAAACTTAATATATTCAATCTAATATTCTGGAGTGCTCCAACCTTAAGAGTATACAGCTACCTGACACTTTGCATTGCTTCATCTTATCTGTTCCATGGGAGTTGGGTCCCTGAACAACCAGTGAACCCTCTGTTTCCTAACTACATCAGCCCCTTCACTTAAAGAGGAAATCCTGTGTGTGTGTGTGTGTGTGTGTGTGTGTGTGTATTTTCAATGCTTGCTGGCTCCAGTAGCAGAAGAGAAGGAGCTAGCTTCAGAACAGGACAAAAAACTTCCCACTAGTTTGGGGACAATAGTGTTGAGGCAAATGCAGTCTCTGGACTTATAAAGACAGATTTTTCTCTTCCTTTCTCCCTCACCTTTCTTTGCTGTAGCATATTTTCCTCAAAGTATGACCCTCATAGTTCCAGTAATGTGCCTAACTAATCCTAGTGTTATTTTATCTCATCCTTAGCAAAAATGTCCTACAACTCTTATGGACATTTAGTTCCTCCATTATCTTGAAGAAAAAAAAAATGCTGCCCTATTTTTTAAACTTTTCTTTTCTTTACAATCTTCAGAAAATTTATACCCTCTGGCTCTGACTCTTACCAGTCTTGGAAAGCTGATCTCTCAAGGACAAACTCAGTGCCTATTTCTCAGTCCTCTTCCTTCTTGACATTTGCAGAATTGGCATTTTTGGCCACTCTTATGCCTTAAAATTTGAGCTTCTGGGATCCAGGATTCTGTGCTGATCCACACTTTTCCTACCTCCCAGCACTCCTCTGATTAACAGTGATCAACTCGGTGACTTTGGGCAAGAGTTGAACCAGAATAATCTCATTTTATTGGGTTATAAAACTTGAGGTTATTCAATTAGATTGTAAGCTTCCTGAAGACAGAAATCTTGTTTTAGATCCCTATTAAACATCACAAAGTGCTGAGTAGTCACTAAATGTCCCATAGTTACCGCTTACTGACACCTCTTTATCCCAGGTAATCAGTCTGCTAGCCTATATGAAATGGCTTAACAGTTGATTCTTTCTATTTTACTGCTGTTGCCAAGTCCTTGGTAGTTTGGGCCTAGATTACTAGATTTACTAGAGTGAGCACATCATTACTGCCCTTGTCTCCCTGTCTTTATCTAGCTGCCTGACTAAACTACCACTTTGTTCAAAAAGAGTCCACAGTTTCCCATTGTCCCCAGGAAAAAGTTCAAACTGAAACGTCAAGGCCTCACACAGTTGGATCTATTTACTTATTTTCCATTACTTACCAATACACATGGGCAGGCCTATCCTTTGTCTCTGTTACACTCTCTTCTCACACTTGGCTTCTTTTCAAACTGTTCCATGGCACCCTTTTCCATGTCCTACTTTCTTCCTTGCATCTCCAGAAATCCTATCCACACTCTATAAAAGGCGCTGCTCAAGTCCTGCCTCCTCTGATACTTGCAGTCCCCCGCCTTCTTAGAAGTCCTTTGCAGGGATGGTTTGCATTATTCTCCTGCATTACACACTTTCTTATTCTGTTCTCTGGTTCTTTCAGGTGCTTTTTTCCATAAGCTTTTTTGAAGTTAGAAATTGTTTTAAATCTTGAGAAGCTCCATCTAATACAAACTACAATGCAGGCCTGGACTCTAGTTTTAGTCTAAACCAGGAAGGTTTAATTTAATAAAATTAGCCTTTTGAATGGTTTTGTTTTGTTCCGTTTTGTCCCACCTTGAATTATGTACATTAACTCTTGGGACTGACTCTCCTTTAGAGCTCCTGAGATGCTGGCCTCTTGGCTTTCCAGTTCATGAGACTGTTGTAAGGAGTGAGTGAGTTTATTCATGAAAACAGTGGCTGATATATAGTAAGTACTCAATAAATGCTAATTGTTATGATTCTACTGCTTCACATCTTCCTGTAGCCTTTCATTTCATCCCCTGCAGGGTCTGTAACTCCATTACCATAAATGAAAAACTAGGATCACAAGCAAATAAGTTAGAAGATATTTCTTCGAACTGCCATAATTGGCAATAGCCATCTATTTTATTATAACTCTATCATGTGTCAAAAATGACTCAAGATAGCTTACAAGATATAGTAAAATAGAAAACCAAAAACACATACAAATCAGCATTAGAAAAAAGAGAGAGCACCTAGAAGATCAAGATGAGGACAAGTTATGGTATGCCATAGGGTTATTCAGTTAGAGATGCAAACTGAGCATTCTGGCAACCACAGTGAGGTGATCATTTGCTTATATTATATTTGGAAGGAAAACAAATGTCTATTTTTCAAGGAAAGCAAAGCTTTCCTAATAGATTTAAGATGAATTCTCCATTAGCCTTCATGTAATTATACAATGCATTTGATAGCAAAATAAATAAAATAATATATCCTCCACAACACCTAGTATATAGTAGGTTCTCTAGTGAATAAATATTTAGTTCATAGGAGAAGGCTCAGAAAGGCAGGGATGGAGATTGTTCTTGGGGTGGAGTGGGGTTAGCAGGAGCAGGGAGCAGAGTATATTAGATAATCAAGTAATTAATGGGTGCCAGAAGAAAAGCTCTTTTCATACATTTGACTCATTTAATTCACCACATTGTGGAATGAAAAAGTGAAGTATACAGATGTTAAATAATTTACCCAAGGACCAGGATGTGATCCCAGTTCTGCTGACCAGTACTGGACCCCTTAAGCTGTACCCTGGCAAGATCTGGGAAAGAAAGAACTCTGCAAGTAAAGACATAAAGGTAGGAAAATGCCCTGTTCCAGTAGATGAACAACTCCCTGTCTATGGCAGGGAGTTTAATGAAGTAAAAAATGAGAAAGTTGATTTGGAATTGGATAACTAGATGATGGCAGACTTGAGTACTAGATCATCTTTTAGGCAATAAGGGAATTACAGGAGGTTTTTGATCATGGTAATTGGGTTTCGTTTCAGGGGGGAAGATTAATCTGGTAGAGGAGACAGGATGATTTGGAAAAGAGAGAGACAGTAGGCAGAAACTAGGTGGGAAGCTGGAGTCTCAGAATAGTGGTATTGGGAAACGGAGAGCAGCGAACGGATGAAGAAACGGTAAAGGAAAGATCCAGTGAAATTGGTGACGAGATAGGGGCAAGGAAGAAGAGAGACCAGTGGCTACGTTCCTTAATTGCTGTTGTTAAATGTCATGTAAGCTATTAGGGCATGGAGGGAGGGATTTCTTATATACAATCAGCAGTTAGTCGTGAACACAAAACATAAAGAAGTTGACTGTCTGATAAGATTAACCTGCATCTTTAAAAAGGAGTCAGTGTGGATCCAGAAACTTGGGATTTCCGGTGGGGAAGTCGGGTCAGAATGGAAGAGTGTTCCGGAGGGGTCAGCCTTATTTTAAGGAGAAACTGAGAGCCTTCAGATGCAGCCGAAGTCATCGTGACAGCTCACACTGAAGAACCACTTCGAAATAATCTCCTGCCTTACACGGAGCCCACATCCAGGCGCTCAGCCTGGGCCCTTACTTTTCTGCGAGCCCAGCAGGTGGAGAGGGAGAAAGGCTCCCGCGGAGGCCAGCTGCCTTGCCTCGTGGTAGGTCGCTGGGGCCCCTGGGCCATTCCTCGAGTGGCTTCTTGGGCGGGGTGGGGGCGCTCTGAAGGAAGATCCGCCAAAGAGCCAGGAGGGCGCCGCGTCGGGGGCCGGCCCGGCATCTGGGAAGCGTGGTGGGCTGGAGTCTCTCGCGCAGCGGCCGCCCGCAGTCCAGCCGAGCGCGAGCGTCGCCCGGGGCCGCAGTCAGTCCGGGGCTGGGCCGGGCCGGGGAGCGTGACTTGCCCCTCCACTGGACCCGCTTTTGTTTCTTTTTTTCCTTTTTAAAACAGTAATTGACCAACTTTTTATTTAAGACAGTGTAGAACGAAGTGAGCACGTGTGGATTCTGGTTCTCGATTTACCTCTTGAGCAAGGATGCGAACGTGGTTTAATGCGTGAATGCAAGTAGGGCTGCTGGTAAAGCAAGATCCGGAATAGTGCTCAACCTTATCACGAGAAGGAAGAAATGTTGAGTTACATATAGAGTGTGGGTACAGCAGGTGAGTTGTGCAGTTTTCTTTTACAAAAGGGCTATTGCTTCATATTTGCTGACTTCTTCTGTAATGAAAAAAGTATTTGTTAGTCATACAAAAACTTGACTATGCCTCTCATTACTTTTAATATTGTTTTAATACTTTTCGGTACAACGATTTGGACTCTAAATTCAGTTTATTTTAATACTTAGTTTTAATGAAAAAGCTGCGTTTTTGGCTATGCTTACTAACTCAGCATACTCATTTTTCAATCCCATTTTTATGCAAATGTTTGTGATGAAATTCTGCTAGTAATTTTCTGTCTTTCCTGGTATGAATTAAGTTGTTTGCAAACTAATCAGAAGGTGTTGTGTTTTAATATTTTTAACAATTAAAGATAAAAAAGGACTATTGGTGTCTATGAAACCTGGATGTCTGAAATATTGTCAACACAGAGTTCGGAGTTGCTGAGGAATAGCCCTTTGCCCTCCTACTTGATGGCTCTTTATGCAATTTTGAGAGATGGAGGCAGCAGCTGGTGACAAATTTAACTTTCACATCCCATCAAAGCCATTTCTATCTTTTCATATCACCTTTCACCTTTTCTCTCCCAATACATGATATCTTTTATAATTTGGCTGTGAAAGGAAATGAAGGAGATAGGAAAGACTATCATAGGATGATAAAATTTAAGAAAAGGGGTTGGAGGAGAATCAAGACACCAAGTCCATACCTTTTATGATTTTTTTGAAGTTTTAATTTTTATCTCAAAGATCATAAAACCAGGCAAATCTACTTTAAACTTGTTCTCTAGGAAATAATTAAATTGATAAAACATAACATTTACTTATAAAAATCATGACAAATTTAAAACATACACAAAATTAGAAAGAATAGTACCATGAACTCCCATATGGCTATTGCCCAGATTCAACAGTTATTAAAATTTTGCCACATTTGCTTTATTTGCCCCTTTTTTCTTCCTTTGTTTTATTCTTTTGCTGAGATATTTTCAGTAAAACTGAGACATCATGTAATTTCATCCCTACATATTTCATTATGCATTTCTAAAAACCATGGACAATTTCTTACATAACCTCAATGCTACTATCATACCTAACAAAATTAACAGTAATTGCTTGGATACCCTTCATTTTATAGATGAAACACAACCTGAGCTACATCTTCTGTTTTGGACAATGGGGAGAAACTAAGGTAGCCCCAGGTCTGGATGTGGATCTGTGCTAAATTTAGGAGTTGAGACAGGACATTTCTTCTCACCTCTTATTCCATCTCAACTTCCTGGAGTAGAACTGTATTAACTGAGCCTGTTTGATCCTTCAGAATATTGGCTTCCTCTTGGGGACCTGCAGATTTGAGTCCTTGAGAACCATTTTCTAATATTTTTCCTCACTTTTCGTCTTCTCTGATAAGTCTTCTTCCCATGGTTAACCATTTCCTTACAACTTCATAGTCTAAAATGACTCTT